GATGTGAAAGTCATTTCCAGTGAAGGACACGCATTTCATATGTACATTCTGTGAGTTCTGACACATACATGGGCTTGTAGGACTTGCAGGGCTTGTAATGTATTTAAATTTTTTTTTTTAATTTTAGAGGCCTTCAAATTAAGTTCTTGTCATAGATGTATTTTGGTGGTGGTGTTTTCCTGGAGGGGTTTTCACCTTCAGATGAATCTCTGGAAGGCAAAATATGCCCATTCCATCATCTAACCCCCTGTCCAGATACACTCCGTGCCTCGGAGTCCTTGCAGAGAAGGCTGATTGAGCATTGCACCACACAGCTGCGCTGCGCATCTTATCTCGTTAACACTTCAAAAACTTTGCCGCACCCAAGTCTGTGCCTGGCACGTACCAGTCTGTAGGCTGAATCAGTGCAGGCGCTTTAAGTCTGTTAACACTGGCGTGTCCAGAGTGGTCAACTTTGTTCACAAACAGGCAAACCAGGATTTCTTTTTCCATGTGGAAAAAGCGGTGGGACAGAAAACTGAACACTGTCGCCTTGACTAGTAAGGCAATGAGTCTGGGATCATCGGTGAGATTACACTCTCTGTGATCATTATTATAATACATGTTTATAACTTGCACATTTTGGGGGAAATCCCTTATATGGTACGAGTGATAATTATTTTATGTCACAAGCGCTTCTGTATTCTGACACAGATGTATCAAAAGAAGTCACACAAAAAGAGCCTTCAATGGGACGATTTACTCAGGGACGTTTTTATCTTAAAGCAAACTGGAGCTTGACATTTGCAACAGCATCTTCACGGACAGGCTGATCGCAGAGTCTATTCCTAAGCTGGGCTGCTCCATGCCTGTGACACCATTTTTCAAATTAGGTCGATGGAAATGAGATGGAGAAACTGAGCAAAGAGAACTTACTAGTACTTGTGAATCTCTGTAGGGCAGAAATATGAATGATGGCACCGGGGTTTTTTCCCTGTCACAAACGTTATGTGTCTCCCTGGAGCCCAGAGCCCTTCCAACCACTTAACTGCAAGGCGCAGTTCCGGCCGCCCGTGCCTCCTTGCTCCAGTGTCGTCTTCCGATCTCTGGAAGAGACTGCTCGTTCACGTTCAAGGTCGGGGCTGGGGGGGGGGGGGGGCGAGCGAAGGGAAAGGTGTTAATTCAGACGTTATGACACTGTGATAATGCTATTATTTAAGGGACATATTTGGGTGTGTTTATAGTCTGTAGTTTTATAAGTAAGCCCAAGGGGCCCCTCCTGGTTGTCACGCTGCTCCTCAAATCCCGTGTCCTGTCTGTCTCATCCGATCCGACAGTAGAATGCATGCCGCCCTAATCCCTGGAAGTTTGGAACTAATGAACTGACTGCTGAGCCGCTGCCACGGAGCTTGGTCCCAAACTATACTGTACTTCACACTCGATTTATTCTCCAGATGGCAGGCTGTGCCGCCCGCCGCGCGGGACCACCTCTTCCACTGGAGTGTAAAAGTGGACGGATGTTGTTTTCTTTGCAGATTGGATCATTCTGAGCTAGAAACTCGCGAGGATGATTAGTTATTAGCTTTAATGGGTGCCAACTGAACCGACTGCATGCATATTTTCTCCCTTAATTTTGGAGTCTGCCGGTCCCAGTGATGGTGGATTTATCCGCTTCCTTACGTCACCGGAGTGGGTTGCTTCCCCAGGTGATGGGGAGCCGGTCTCTGAAATCAGTGCACGCCTTGGTTCCTGGCCCAGACAGAGTCTCAGAGTATGGTGGCTTATGGAGAAGGACAAGTTTATTAGCCCCTGGTCCACTGCCCTGAGCAGCCTGTGGCACGAAATATCGATCAAGATCACATCTTCAGAGCAGGAACCTGCCTCACGTCTTCCTCTGGGCCAGCTCTCCGCGGGCCCGCACAGAGCCCACCTCTGGACTCAGACACCCCAGAACCCGCCGTGGGGCTCCTCGAGGGTCGAGCACAGCTCGTGATGAAGGCCTCCGTTCCACTGGGTCTTAGGGGCACAGGTTCATTCCACGGTTAGTGGAGTTTGCCTTTGACACACTTTTGAATGTGGTTCCCTTTTAAGCCTCCTTTGATCAGTGTGTGCTCCACGTGTGGAAGATGCCTGCCCGCTCCAGGTTGTGTTTGACTTGCCTCTTTGGCTTTTCCTTTTGCTTTTCTTTCCTCCCCCCCAGCAAACACATCCCCTCTAATGAACTTGGTGAATTTCCCTGAGAGCCATTCTGATATGGTGGGGCTCTCCAGGCTACCCCCTACTCACCTACATGAAGAGACAGAGGGTGGAGGGTGGAGGGTGGAGGGTGGAGGGTGGAGGGTGGAGGTCTCTGTCTGGGCCGGGCAGAGACCCAGGGAGAAGAAGGAGCAGAGAAGAGCGAAGGGGACGAGGTGATGGAGACGAGAGAGAGGCGCACATTAAGGCGTGTGCTGGAGAAAACGACTGGGTGCCCGACTGTCTCACCGAACCCCGGCTCCACACTCCATTGTCCTTAGAAACCGCTTTCCTCTCAGCCCAACAGATGGCATGGGTGTGTTTGTGAGCACAGTCACACATTTCACCATTGAAATACCAAAAAGAAAAAAAAATGAACGTGCTCACTGGTTGGTGTAAACGCAGTGAAGTTGTCGGGTATCGGGGATGTGTACCCGAGGGACGCACGCTGCGTCTGTGCAGACTGTGACAAGCCGCTGCCCGTTCCTAAGGCCGCTGTGGGGCTGGACCCTTCCAAAGCCATCACCTCTCGTTGAAAAGCTGCAGAACGGCGAAGTAGAAAGAGGTTGGCTTTAATTCTGAGTCAAAAAGGGGAGGGGGGTGTCTAATAAAATGCGCAGTATTCACTGCTCCTTATTATAACATTGAAAAGTACTAATCAGATTATGCCTGAAATTAGAATTAGGTATTTCACTTGCAGCCAATTTCACAAGAACTGAATTTTACTAAATAAACTGGAATGTGCCGAAGCCATGGCAATCTGACTTTAGATTAAAACACACACAAACAGGATCAGAACATAAGTTTTGAACAAACAGTCCCCTTGGATCTGAGTGAAGCAACCAGACAGCTTAGAGGTCGGATTTTGTTTGACAGCAACATGAAAAATTTAGGGAACTGATACTGCCAGAGATCCTGGATGCCTGCGCACACGTGCAGGTGAAAGTCGAATGTGGAGCTGATGATTCAGAGAATTCAGTTTTAAAATGCACTCCAGCCTGAAGGATCTCGGAGTTCGATTTTCCATTCACTGTCCCAGTAGGCTCTTTGCAAGGCTGTCTTGCTGCCAGAGAGAGCCTGGAAATTGAAAGGTTTGTGAACTGGAGCAGAGGTTTGTGAACTGAAACAATTCTGATTTGTAGCTATGTGGGGTACACGTTCAGGTTCTCCAAGGCCAAGGATCTAAACACGTGTGCTGCCAAAGAGCTGGGCGCATTTGCCTCAGCCGCTCCAGGATACTGAGCTAACTTCTACCCTCCGCCCTGCTCAGCAGCTCTAACAGGAGTGCATGGTAGAGTAAGCAGATGAGTTTATGGCTGTGGGACAGCCAAGGGCACGATGCGGAACCAAATCACTCTTGGCTGCACCACCTCTGTCTTCGGCGAGGAGAAGCTCTCGTGTTTTGTGGAGGGTTGGAGCGATTATTGGCAGTTGGAGCTCTGTGAGTCAGGACTGCGCAGAGCTGTCCTAGGTGGGTCTGTAGTGTTGTCTCCATCTGACCTGACAGCTCCAAGCTACCACTGCCTCGCCCCATTTGGAAGCCTGCCTTGCCTGCACGTGGTCGTAGACCTCATGAGCTGGGGTAAATCCACTGCCCTGGGTCTTCTCATTGATTGCACATAGACTCAGTATTGGCTTAAATAATCCTTTTATTTACTTTTTTTTTTTTTTGTCTCCACTTCGGCTTGCTACTTTCCTAGGTCAGCACTGCGGCTCAAATGGCTGTATATGGTGGCCTTTTTCCCTGAAACCACATTCTTAAGCACTGAGAAGCTTTAAAGTTTTATTAGTATCATAAAAACCCTTCCCAAATGAAACTACTTTTGATAAGTGTTCATTCTGACAATGAGAATTTGTTGAGGGCTGTTGGCAAGTTGGAGGAATTTGTTTTTGAAACTGAAATTGGCAGGAAGTAATGACCCCAAGTGCTTGCTTTCTCTGGACGCCAGCCCCTACCCCTCACTGCACCCCTTTCTTTCACTCCACCTTCCTCACCCCCACCCGAGAGCTAATAAATCACCTACTGGGTCTCATACAGTTCTTTGGATACCGGAGCAGACTTTCAGCCCTTTGCCTCCTCTTAGCTGTGGAGCCAAGACTGACAAATCAAAAGGAAAAATTGTATGTGTCAGCTACTTGGTGAAGGGATTTCTTGGTGAAGCTACTGCCTTCTACCTGAGTAAGTTGGAGCTTTCTCTTTTGTTTTCCAGAACAGAGTGTCAGATTCCTGTGAGCAGTTTCTTAATTGAATGTCAAGATGCAACTCAGTTGCAAAAAAATATGATAAAGTGAATGAGTAGAAAAGCACGATGCAGGTAGAAAAAGAAAAGCAAATCCTTATCCCGAGATCCCCCCCAACAATATGAATGGCTGACAGATGAGACAGCCACGATCCAGATGCTGCTTAGTTTCTTGTGTTTATGGAAGGAGAAAATACAAGTCAGGAACTTAGAATCAGGCTTAGCCCTTAGTGCTCAGTCAGCAAATAATTATCTATTGATAATCTTCCCGTTCCAACTGGAAAATAATGCTGTGGGCCGGTGGCAGTGCCATGTGGGGGTTCACCACCGGGTGGGGTGCAGGGCAGCCTTGATGTCACCGCCCTCTTGACCCAGGCTGTATGACTTATCTCAAGCGTCACTCACTTGATGGACAGGAAATGTGTAGACACAATAGCTGTGTTCAGACTCTGGCTCCACGTAACCGTCACACACACCATTCCATTGGGTCCTCCCCACCCCGTGATCAAAGTGAACTTAGGAGATGTGTTCTATCAACACGCACAGAGTGAAGCCCGACAGAGAATAGTCAAAACCCTGGAAGACTTTGACCTGGGCCCAACTGAGAAGTGTGTGAGAGTGAACTCGGTGTCCAGCGGGCTGGCCGAAGAGGACCTCATGGCCCTCCTGGAGTCGCGGGTCCTTCCTTCCAGCCTGATGCTCCCCAAGGTGGAGGGTCCCGAAGAGATCCAGTGGGTGAGTCGCTCTGCCTGGCTTCCCGATCAGGACACACTTGGATGCTGTGGGTGTACGGGCTGTGCACACAGTGCAGAGGAGGGGGGTTGAGAATGAGCAGTGGGCACAGGAACCCATCTCCTGCCCACGAGGAGAGCCTGGCTTTGCCCACAGAGCTCGGGGAACATCGGGCAGACTGGTGGTGTGCACAGCACAGCCTCCCCTGCAGGCCCTGAATCGCGCCCCTACCTGCCCCACCAGGGCCTCCCCGGAAGAGCCGCTTAGCCACTGGCTCTCCCCGGATGCCTTTGAGGCCTGCGAGGTGGCAGGGGCGTGCTAGTCACAGACGAGGCTACACCCAAAGAAGGGGAGGAAAAGGTCATTCCTTAGGGCAACTGGAGGAATAAACAGGAAGCTTTTAACGAGTGGTTTTAATTAGCGCAGATATTATTTCCTGAACAGGTCTCCAGCGCATCCTTTTTAAATTGCTGACAGGTGTGTTTGCGTTTCACGACAGACTTTTCAGCCAATAAAAATCTGAAATGTAAGGCAGTCAGCCCAGCAAGTTACTTGTGAAAACTTTTGAAATGGACCTAATTATACGATGATCGTCTGAACTGCGAGATGGCATGGGGGTAGGGAGGACTAGATTTTTATTTGAGGTTTTCGGTTATTCTTGAGAGCTCTGTTGAATAGCATGATAATTCCTGGTGCCACCAGGGTCTGTGGGGTGTGAGTGCTGGCAGTGTCTGTGGGCAATGGGGGTTCTAAGGCTCATCTGGTGTGTCTCAGAGGCCATGGATACAACCATAGGCATATACTGAGAGGCTGCATTACCTGGGGAGACTGTTCCCCTCTTATTTTTAATAGAGAGAATGAGAACCCTTCTGTCCTTTGGTTCGTTCCCCAAATGTCCACAGCAGCCAAGGTTGGGCCAGTCGGAAGCCCAGAGCCAAGAAGTCAGTGCGGGTTTCCCGCATGGGTGGTGGGGACCCAACTGCTTGAGTCACCCGCATGGGTGGTGGGGACCCAACTGCTTGAGTCACGTCGCCTCCCAGGCTCTGTGGGGCAGCCAGCTCTGGAGGCAGGAGTGGGGGTGCAGGTGCTCCCTCTAGGATGCTAAGCTAAACACCAGCCCCACTGCTTGCTGCTACAACGTGCTGGGCCTGTCCTGTGCAGTGCGTGTGGCTACCAAGCCCTTGAGATGCGGGCAGTGCGAGCTGAGATGTGCTGGAAGTGTGCAGAATACACACCCGCCCCCTCTGGGGGAAAAAAAAAATTTAAAAACATCTCACTGACTTTTATGTCCGTCACACACTGAAATGATAGCACCCTGACCTATTGAGTTGAATATCAGATATTACTAAAGTCACCTGTTTCTCTTTACTCTTTCAGTGTCACCAACTCAAAAACTCAGTTATACTTGCAGCTGCCATTCTAAAAGGGGTCTTCAAAAACTTCATGGAAAATGCGTATTATTAAAAAAAAAAGTGGATTTCCGATTTTTTTTTTTGGCCCAAAATAAGTGCATCCTGTAATTCTGTTTTCTATGAGCTTCCTGAAAGGCTCTTGGGTTTCTGCTGAACAGCCGTGTGCTGGGTTCTCCTTGAAGCCCATATTCAGGGACCAATATTTACCTTCCTGAACTGGGGTTGTCACCATGGCTGCCCTCGGAAGCTGGGAGATGCTGGTGAGAGTCTGCTAATATCCCCGAAGACGGCGGCCCCATTCACAGTTATCTGAAGTGGATCGCAGCAGGCTCTGTAGTTGTCTTTGGTCGCTTAGCTCTTGCCGTTCGTCACCCTTACTCCCTTCACCGCAAGGCCTGTGCCTTCGGGAGCCTCCCCTTGGGCCTGGAGGAACCCACTGGAATCCAAGCAGGACTTGCAGTTAACAGCAGCCTCGGGCTGTTTATTTTTTCCCTCTCCCTTCTGTATGCATGCGAGGCATAAAACCCAGAGCCTGGTGCACAACTGAAAGATGGGCTTACTTGTTTCCTTTTGTGTGAGAATCTCTTGCTCGCCTTTTGTCGCTAGTGTGGGTTCTTGTTTGACTGGCACGGCTTATTGGACTATAACGAGCGTAACTCGGCCCCCTTTGTGGCGGGACAATTCTCCCACAAATCCCGAACAGTGCGCATTCTTCCAACACACTATTGGGTGTGCACTGGAACTGAAAGAATTGCTGAGCCCTGCTACTTCATCTCTTCCTGCAGCTCTTTGTAATGCCCCCTCCCTCCTCTTCCTCCCCCTCCCCAGTCCCCTCCACCTCACTGAAATGAACACTTTACCCGGCCGGAAACATTTAATCGTCTGCTTTTGAAAAAAATTAATTGAAACTTCTCCAGTAGTTACCTTTTGTGTTCAGTCCTTAATGCAATTTTTAAGAAAGCAGGGGAGGGGGAAGGGGGGGTGAGGAGGAGGGGGAACTGGAATATTTAATTTTTTAACCGCCCCTATTGGCTTAAAAACAAAAGGCTTTATAGAGATTTTTTCTAAGAACAGGGACTACGCTGTGAAGCGTTTGCCTAGCTGTAAACTTTATGATTTTTGTCGTTGTAACTTTTATCACAAAGAGTGAGGTGAGCAGCATTGTGAGTTTTTTTTTTTTTAATAAGAAAAAAAAAGTCTCCTACATGATTAACACCCAGACTGCAAATACTGCACTCCCCGCGTCCTGGCTTAGACGTGACATAAATTCTGTTTTCTTTTCCCTGACGTCAGACCCTGCGTCCCCTTTGGCTGTGGCCTTCTCCCGGCTCCTGCCCTGTGGCCTGGCCCTGCCGGGAGTTCCTGGGGAGCTGCCGATGACGCCCTCTGAGGGAGGGAGGGGCCGGGGAGAAGTGGGAATAATTCTTCATTACTGAAAGCTGTGACTTATTTGAGCCTAATTGTAAAGTTACTGCAAATTGCTCAAAAGCTTTTTAAAGATCCCCGTGATTAGATTTTGAGGTGGGGTGGGGGTGGGGGGTGCACGGGCGCGGAGGGGGCAGCTAAAAGGGGAAATAACACCTCTAATCCCGCTTCTGGTAACTGGGCTGCTAGCTTTTAAAATGAGTTTCCTTTCTATTAGTCAGAATATTATGCTAAGCCTTAAGCATTAGTTTTTTTATGTTGCCATAGCAGCCTTATTCCTGCAGGGTGGTGACCTGTGATGATTACAGTACAAAGCTTATGGGGTCTTGAAACCCCCTTTGAAGATGAAAAGTCTTTGATGGTTTATATTTATGCAAATCTCTTAGATATGATTTACCCAACTGAGACTGAATGGAGAGATGATTAAAATTCCCCTTTCCTTTGATATCCATTAATGGCTGAATATTCCTTAAATTTAAAATGCATATATATGTTTTCATCTTTATTTACAAAAATATCTTTATCATACCTGTGTTTCTTTTTTTTTTTTTTTATCTGCTGACATCTTATTAGATCGCGACGGACATAATAGATTTACAACTTAGAGTGTGTTTTTCCCCCTTCCCAAAGGGGGTGGGGAGGCTCCGTGAAGGGGCTTTTGTATGCTTCCAGATGATAGATTTTGGAATTTGGGCTACCCCACTGGCAGCACAGAGCTAGCTGTGAACTGGTCTCATGGAAAAAATTGGTGAGCTTTGGTCTTCAAAGAATTAAACTTCCTTTTTAAGGTCTTCCTAGGTAAGCTAAAAATCATGAAGAAAAAAACCTACTGAACAAAGGGTAATAGTGCCATAATGAATAATATGGATTCCACATAGGAGGCTGTGGGGCAGTCACACGGATGGCAGCGCTGGCACGAAACAAACACAGAGCGGCAGGTAGAGGCCTGCTGCATTGTCTTAAGGGCCTGCATTTGCATGAAGGAAGAGGGCAAGAGCTCTACAGCAAATACGTTTTCAGGAAAAGCTTCCCAACTCCAGACCCTGCCCTTCCAGCCCTAGCTAGCAGGCCTTAAGGGGAGAAAACATTGTAATGCTGTATTGGGCTTGGTGGGAACTTCATTACCTTTTTTCTTTGGTCTTTCCTCCTTTTTTCTTTTTTCTTTCTTTTTTTTTTTTTAATTCTTTTGTGCGGACAGAAGGAGGCTGGGGTGTTACTGCCTCAGTTCCTGCAAGACTTAAATTCTACTTCTCAGTCTGCATTTCAGTGATTGTACTTTTCGTTTGTTTGTTTGTTTGCCAGCCACTAATCACCTATGACACTTTTGATTTTAGTTTTCAGACAAATTTTTACTCCACTTAAAAGGCCGAAAACTTGAACAACCAATGAATTTAATCCCTTTTGTGGAAACTGCAATGGGTTTGCTCAATTTTAAGGTAAGAAAACCATCATGTGGTTACTAAGTCAGCATTTTGTTTGTCACCTACAGAGAACTTTTGTTTTCAATTTTAACATCTACTGAAAATATTTTTCTAGAAAGATTTATAAGCAAGGTAAACTTCGAGAGCCATTTGTTACCTAACAAAGTCCAAAAGCCAGGCAGGCAGTGTCTTAGAAAACAAAGAAACTGGTTAAACAGAAAGGAACAGCTTGCCAGTCCTAAATATCTGAACGAAATATTTACGTCTTCCCGGTGATAACTGTCATTCAGCAATCACTGTGTAAGTATATGCTTTGAATGATCGTATTTGTAGATTAAACGCACACAAAAAATGTATTTGTCACCCATTGCGATTAAGTCCACATTGTTCTGTTCCGTCCTCTGCCTTTTCCGTGAGAAATTTCCTGGCCTCCGAGCAGGAATCATCATCCATCACATCTAACGGAGATTACGGTTTGTAAGTTTCTGTGCACAAACAGCCTGCAGCCTGCCCTATTAGCACATAAAAGGGTGTCTCAGATAGTTCGGGGAGAAGATAGAAGCCCAGGACCTCGTCACCGTCCTGGTCGGATGGCTGCGTGAGACGACCCGCCTCCCCAAATTCACGGCCGGCTTTTGGCTTCTCCTTCATCAGAGCCGTTCATATCTTTTCCCAAAGCCTGGCCCTCGTTCCACCTGCCCCTTGAACGTCCAGCTAGCACCCCCTCCTTGGGCTGGTTTTTTTTTTTTTTTTTTCCCCTCTTCCAGAGGGCAGGAGAAAGAAATCACTAAAAACAAAGGCAGAAGGTGGCTGGCGTGTAGCAGAGGGGGAACGTGGGAGCCGAGGGGCAGCGCTGAGCCCCTGAGATGGCACAGGAGGGGCTGAGTGCCAACGTGTGCCTCGTCCTGTGGCCAGCTCCTTCGCATGGGTCTGTTCTTCAGCCTGCCCCAGAAGCCTCAGAATACACCAAGCACACATCGTGGATGCTACCAGAGTCATACAGTGACTTAATTTTAAGCACTGCCTCGCCATTACAGTGTACCTAACAGCACTTACAATGCTTGCAAACAATCAACAGGGTCCCCATCAGTTTCTCGTTTCTTTCCCACCCACGCGTAGTAGCAAGTTCTCTCTCCACCTTTGGAGAGTCGCAGTAATGTCTATAGCGAATGTTATCCATCTCTACTTTCACACATGAACGTCAAGGTTGCTTTTATTAACACATCCTGGATGACTTGTTGCATTTTTATTTTCCCCTCTGGAGTTGGAGGGTTTCGTACTGTTTGTCTTTAATCCTGAGACCGTTTACTTGGTCCTAATGTAAATAATCCAATTAGTTTGATTTAAAAATTCCTTCCTTCTCTCCTGTGGTTTCATGTTTACTGTTTGAGAGTCTCTTAAGGCAAAAGCAAATCTTGGAACAATATAAATAACTTAGAGTACATCAAAATGAGTGAACTCGGGGTTTCTCTAGAAAGTACATGAACTGTAACTTGAGCGTTACCGCCGTATTAATACGTAATACAGATGTAGTGCTAGAACTCATGGAGCAAAGCACATATATAAAATATGTTCAGTAACACTCCTCTAAAGGGGTGAACGGGGCTGCATTTTCAGTTCTGCTTTCAGCCAGGAGTCAGGTGCTTTGTCACTGCCTCTCTCAGGCCTGCGTTTCCCTGAGACCTGGCTCCGTTCTGCTCTTTTGCAGGCTGTGTGTGAAGAAACACTCAAGACCGGGCCTCCAGTGGGTCTTTTCCTAGATGGAGTCGTGTTTGGGGGAGAAGATTTTCGCGCCAGCATAGGTGCGTGTGTGTGCGTGTGTGTGTGTGTGTGTATGTGTATGTATGTATGTATGTGTATATGTGTGTGTGCCTGTATTTTTCTTTGCCCACGGCCATTTACATGACAATGTGTATTTACCAACCGTGACAATGGTTTTTCATCACAACAGAATGATCTACACCTCTGAGTAATGGGCTCCCTCTCCTCCCCCTGCCCCACGCCAACCCCAGCTCAGAGCGGTCCTGCTTCCCGAACGGGATCACTGCCTTACTGCTTTTGATCATTTATAAAATAACAAATAAACAGCCTGGTGCAGCCTCAAGCGTGTTTGGGAAAATACGGCCTCCACTTTGCTCCCGAAAAATAAGTCACGTGAGCAGCCTTGCTGGGTATTTCGGCTGCGCCTTGGCCTGACGGCCATCCAGGCTCCCCACACACCTGCAAGGCGGTTTCGCGTCGCCTTCGTGAGCTGTTTTCTGTGTGCCCGGCAGAATGGAAGTAGAACTGCAAACAGGGCTGAGATGTCCCTTGACGGGCGGTGTCAGAACCTCGTTATTAACTGTTTGCTGAGACCCTCTGCTGGCTTCCGCAGATTTCTGCCCTCCCTGGAGCCCCATGCCGCTGGCCCTGGCTGGCTGTACAAGTCCAGCCCAGGAGGCACCTGGAGAAAGAGGCCAGGGCCACAGGAAGCGGCTCCGGAAGCACAGTCCCCGTGACCCACAGCCTGGCACCGCCCTGAGCGGTCCACAGATAAACAGGGACACCCCCTGCTCCCCGCAGGCTGGAAACAAAGGGAGACCTGTGCGCGGCCGCCATGAGCGTCCTGTGCTTTGCCCAGGGTCCCGGAGCAGACGCTGCAGCTCACGTGGGGTTGGGCTCCAGGCCTCAGTGAGGGAGCTACTCTGGGCCCAGAGTGAGGAGCAAAGGTTCCCTCCTTCCCCTTGGCCACCTTGACGCTTTCCCACCAGCAACAAGAAGGAGGGTCACTTGCGACCCTGACCCTGCCTCTGAATGAGGGAGGGGCTCTCCCAAGGGCATATGGAAGGGGTGAAGGGGGAGAGTCAGTGCCAGCAACCTGGATTGTGGGTCCCCCCGCCCCTGCCCCCTGCGGCCCCCTCTGCCTTTTCCTTTGCCTCGAGTCAGGCCTGGGAGCAGCTCCCAGGAAGACCGATGCCTTCACAAAGCCAGGTCTTCCTCCTGAGTCTCCAGGTGTGGATCGCACAGCTCAACCCTCCCCGTTCTGGGCCGCTTTTCAGGTGCAACAAGTAGTAAAGACGCCCAGGACATCCTGTACGCCCGGCAGAAGATCGTCACAGTGGCAAAGGCCTTCGGCCTGCAGGCGGTGGACCTGGTGTACATTGACTTCCGAGACGAGGCCGGGCTCCTCCGACAGGCGAGGGAAGGGGCCGCCATGGGCTTCACCGGTAGGCTTGCCCCCGTCGTGTCTTACAAAGCTGAGCCTGAGTTAGGAGCCTTCCGGAGAGACAGCAGCGGAACCCACAAAGGACGGTGCCTGCTGCCATCGGAAGTGTCATGTTCTCGTTCCACCATTTGTGCCTTGAAAAAGCCGTGTCTGTCTTTGGCTCTGTTACTCGAGAAACAGAGCCCTCGTTTTATTTCCTCTTTGAATTGGGGACCATGTTTGCCCTGCCCTTGTATGTGTTGGCTTGCAGTTTTGGCTGACTTCAGGCAAGGGGCCAGGCTATTACCCAAGTGTTTTAGGGCGAATGCTCAAAGAACGTGGGGTGACAGATGGAAGAAAAATGTCCCCAAATATTCAAAAGTCATTTCTAAAACAAAATGTGGGGATATCTCATTTTCTTCCCCAGAACTAGTTTTTTTTTTTCTTTTGGCACTTCCAGCCCCTCCTTCCTCTCCCCCACCCCATGAGTGCCTGTGCACCTGGGGACATCTGTAGGTATGTCCTACACCAAGGTCCTTGGCCAGCCATGCCAGGGTCTGGCAGGTTACCTGGTGACCTGTGTACCCATTACTCAGATTTCCATGAGCCAGGGAAGCAAGCAAAAATTGTGTCTTTGCAACAGAAATCAAACTGTGGAAAAACCACAGGTGTATTCTTTATATATACACACACTCACACACACGTGAAGTTACACAAGCCCCCCCCCCCCCCACTCACACACAGGCCACCATGGTGGGGAAACCATAAGCTCTTTTATTCTTATTCTCATGCTGAAAGCTCTAAGAATCTTAATTTCAGAAATGATAAAGGAGACAAACATTCTGATACCCTTTTACAAATATTTTTGAAATGCATCTACATAGGGGTTACTGCATAAAGCAGCCCTGACAATTCAGGATACCTTGATGATCAAACCCAAAATAAAACGGAAAGCCTTAAGAAGCAATTTTAGTTTTATAAGAGGATCCTTCAAAAAGTTTACGGAAGCCAGAATTAAATTCAGTGCCTTAGACTGCTAGCCACGCTACTTGCTTTGGAAGCCAGAATTAAAAGACAAATTCATTAAAAGACAAGTTCATTTTGGCGCGCAAAAATTTTGTGAAATCCATGCAGTGTCTTTATAGTATGCATTTTACATGAACTTCTAGAAGACTCCTGTTGCACATGGATTGTTGTGGGTTTTTTAAAATATAAAACATTAAATAAATATCAGCTCCTTATTTTTAAATGAAGGAATGTGATCTTCTTCAGAGAAATGCTTTTTAGTCATCTGAACTGTTAGTAAATGGATCCTCCTTGCATTTAAGGGTGACTGAGGGTCAGCTGATGTACTTCTGACGCCCACGTAAGAGGTGGCCCAACTGGGAAAGTTGGAGACAAACTCCATGAAATCTATCTAATAGACCCTGATGTTGTTGTTGGCCTAAAACGTATGGCACTGGCTGCCAGGCAGCCAGATGTTCCTCTGAAATGGGAACTAATTCAATGACAACAAAAGAAAAAAAGAGGCCTGGCCTCTGTCAGCATCACCCACTGGAGCCTGAGCCCCTCCGTCTTCTCCGGGGTCCGTGTTGGCTCCCAAGTCTCCACGGCAGGCTGACAGTCCCTCCAGGACACGGGGCTGCATTTGCTCGGCCCCTAATTCAATCGCGCAAGACAAGCTATTTCAAATCGGGTTTAAATTTCCAGACTGTGCCCAGCTCAGCACGAGGAGCTTATGGGCCTGGCACTATTGTTTCTCCCCAACAGGGAGGAGTAAATCACAGGAAGAATGGAACCGGGGAATGGGGAGGGCGGAGGGCACAGTGCCCATTGTACAGCCAAGGGAGCGAGGCAGGCAACTCGGAGCCACACGCCATAGCCATTCCTCAATTTTTACAGAGAAGGTCTTTGTTGTCCCAACTCTGTCTTCACACTAGACAAGGTAATTAAAAGATATGAGATGGTGTATAGTAGTTTTTTTTAAAACATAGATGCTTTTACTGAGTATCTTAGACCATGTTACGTAGGATCTGGTTGTCCTAATTGTCTGGCGTTTAGTTGCCACACTGTGGGATGTACACAGAAGGGAGGGAAGAAGGAAAGAGTGAGGAGGCAGAGAGCAAAGAGAGGGGAACCACGTCTTAGCTGAAGCAGGTGTTTGGCAGGTGTAAATCCAGCCAGAGTGCTGTGGTGTCTGCCCGAGTCTGTGTGTGCAGGGTTTCCTGTGCTTGTAAACATTACCTATTTTCAAGTGAGTTGTGATTTTAGAACTGTTAGCCCTCCACCAAATGCTGGGCACCATTCTTTTCTGCAGTCCCAGGGCCACAACCCACAAAGATTGATTTTAAATCAATGCATTGGCTCCACAAATGACCACTAACTTTAGGAATTTTTTAATAAAAAGAAACCAAAACTCAGTCTTGGGATGAGGCTTTAACAGCTGACGTGGTCCAGTTCCTGCAGCACAGCATGCTGAGAAGAAAGGTTAGAAATACGAGGCGCTGTAGGTTTCCTTCTTTTTTGCAGTCTTTTGTAGGAGACAAAAATGACACCATCATACAGTTACCTAAAAGACTTGACAGGTATTGATTTAAAGCAAGATATATCAAGTGGTACTCTAAAAAGGATTTCATGCTCATCAATTTTAATGTCTTCCAATTTTGCACCCTCGCAGTAACTTGTCAATAACACTCTTCTGTATAAAGTACTTGCTGCTTCCCCCATGGCATTAAAGTCTGTGCGGCAGTTGTTGGATTCGAGAAGATGGCACAAAGCAGAACTTGACGTGCAGCTGTTCATAAATTTCTGAAACTTGAATACCTATCTTCATTGAGCCTCACTACCCAAATATTGGGAGTCGGTCATCGCACAGAATTTTAAGTGGCTTACATTGGCCTCTCAACTTATAGTGCCTGTAGCACGAAGTTCCCACGAAATCTGGCTTTTTATATGTCCGTGTAAATTATGTACATAAATTATGAAATTCAGGGCCAATAATTATAGGAAATGACCACCAGAAACAACATCCTGTATTAATAATATTGTAACAACTCAGGGTATTTGAATATAATTTCAATACCTACTGTTGGGGGGAAATCCTCCCATTTGTCATCACCCATGTTATGTGTGCCTAGAAATTATTCCTCAAAGAATCTAAAGCCTCTGTCATCCATATAGGCTTCTAATGTTTTATCAGTGTACCAACAGATGAGAATGAAGTAGCAATGTGAGGCTGTTTTAATTATGCCATTGTAAAGACACTGTTGTGTTTATCCACTGAAACTCCTTCCCATGAAGCACTACAAATAATTTTTTTAAGTGTTGTTCCTTTTGCTATTAAAACGAATAATGACAGGAACAAGGCTTGACATTGTATCCAGCATCAAGGATACACCGTCATTTGTGCTGGCTAAATGTGAAGCCAACTATTTCACAAATAGAGCAAATTGGCATACCAACAAATATATTTAGCAGAGTAAATGATCATAAGTGTACATTCATTTTTAATAGAGTTAAATTATGTCCATAAGCTCATCATGCAATAAAATATAATGTCATCATTATGATAACATTAAATTATGTTGCATTTTATTAATGGCCTGATTAGATTCCACACTTCCCTGCTTGTTAAATTGTTATTTTAATGACTTCAGCGTTTCACAAAATCCTTTGACCTTTATGTTTCTATGATTTTTTAATTTAAAATCCTTAAACTCTAAAAAAAATAAATCTTTTATGAAGATATTTCTACAGAGGTAAGATTTTTGGGGGAGAGGATTAGGTATTATAAGGGGGAAATACCCAAATTTCATTGTGTTGGCAAAACAAGAAAATCCAGTGTTTTTGGACAGAGAAACTTTCCACAATTTTTTTCTTGAGAAAAAATTTAATGGAATAATCCAAAGGTGACAGTGTTCACATCTGCTTTCTATTTTATTATACTGAACAAAGTCTGTCCATCGAAATCTCATTTTCTGCTAGAGGTTAGAAATGACACATTTGCACCTAGAAGAAAGAAAGTATAGTATATTATTGTTGGGCAGCATTTCAGTGCCGTCACGTCTGCTTCCTTAAGCTTTATGAAAAACAACAGACAACTTCGATAAGTGATCAGGGGAGGTAGCAGAAATCTGCGAAATAAACACAAGGCAGCTCCTAAAATTCGAGAGGCTTCTCATGTAGTTTTTTTTTTTTTTTTTTTTCTGCTTTCACTCAAAATAACAGCCCTGACTTGCAGACATGATCCTCTCAAGTCCCAGCCGGAGCAGTGGTCGAGGTGCCTATCAGAGCACCTGTAGTAGCCAGAGTGAGAGATGCTCCGATTGCCGTAGCCTCAGAAACACAAATGCCCCCTTTGTTCCGTTTGTTCTTCCGTGGCGTGCTGCAGAAGCCTGCCTGCCTGCCTGCCTGCCTGTGGTCTGCAGTATTGTTTTTCTTTTCTTTAACAAAAGTTCTGAATTAGTTCACACGCAGTGCGGCAGGCAGGCAGGAGCCTCGCGCGGTGGCCACGTTTTGTTTGCACATCTGCTTGTGGCTTCATGGCTCCTGTGTTACTGATCTTGCAGGTAAGCAGGTGATCCACCCGAACCAGATCGCCGTGGTCCAGCGGGAGTTCTCGCCTTCCCCTGAAAAGATGAAGTGGGCGGAAGAACTCATCGCCGCCTTCCAAGAACATCAGCAGTTAGGAAAGGTAAACGTGTGGGTCCGTGTCTTGGGTGAAACTCGTGTTTAAAATATCAAGAGGAAAGAATGGGGGCAGGGGAACAACTGTGTTTGGATGGTTTAGCAGGGAAGGGGTTGGCACACGCCATCCATCAGCGAGAAAACTGCTGAAGGTGGATTTTCCCTTCCCAAGTGCCTAAATATTTTACTCACTGGCTCTCAAGTCTCATTTTACTCTTTTCATAAAATTCGTTGGCGGCCTTAGAAAATAGAAGTCTGCTTAGTGTTCCTCTGTAGGCTTGGATGCAGCATTCCTATGAAAATAATTTTAGATCAAAGCGGGAGCAAGTGGTAATGAAATAAACACAGTTTGACCAAATGGTTCTTGTGGAGAAAAGAAATAAATTTCAAGTTATTTTAATTTTGGGGGGAGGGTGGGGAGAAGTACAAAAAAAAAAAAAATCTCCGGTTTAATCATTTAGGAGTGGGAGGTTGTATATGTGCTTGCACCAGTTTCTGGACCTGAGATTTGGATAGAATGGAAAGCAAATTAACGCTGGAATACGGTTGTTCCTAATTTAGTGCATCATTGAGTCTCGCGTTTCCTGCTCTGTGGGTTTCTGCTATGTAAATATTGCAGTGGTGATGCACAATCTGTCTCCACTTTGTGCCAGTAACACTTAAATTAGGTGTCGCCTGAAGGAAGATTTTATGCTAGTTGCAGCATTGTCAGTTAATTATCTTAAAGGTTATTTGCAATAATACCGTTTGCCTCTTTTTAAGGGGCTAGGAGGGAGGGTTGCATTTATAAATGTATCCTAGAGGTAATCTCCAAACTCAGCCTGTGACCGCCCTAAGGAGTGAAGTTTGGTTGCCTACTTAGGGGACCAAGAACACTGAAAAATTATTAAACTTCTAGATAGGAAAAGTACCCCTAGTTAAAAAGAAAAACTGGTGTCGAGGGGTAGACCTGTGACATCCTGAGAGAAGGGTCCCTGCACTTTCTCACTAGAACAAGTGCACCTGAGAAGTCCCAGGCCGTGCGTAAGTGAGGAGTGCCCTCACCATGCCTGCCTTCCACCCCAACCACACACGCCAGCTCACCTTTGGGCCAGCCCACACCCAGTACCCAAAGGCAGATTATTTTAACAGTGGAAACGTCCAATTTGGACTTAGACCCGTTTCATGATAAATAGTAGCCTTTCGTTTAACACCAGCAGTGGCCATCGAAAAAAAATAGCACATTTCATAACACACATTTTTAGGTGGCCTTGTGTCTTATGTCCCCTCCAAGTCAAGATCCCCTGTGAATAGACAGACGTCCATGTTGAGGGAAGAGCCATGGCATGGTTCATTCAGACATGCAAATAATGCCACCCGCCTCTTGCATGCCTACTCGCCGGGGCACAGTCCCTCGGCTGTACACCTAATGCGACCTGAGGATGGGCACGTGAGAAACACTTCCCATGAACTGTAAACTGAGGCAGCACATGTACCGTCCAAAGGGCGGACGAAGCAGAGTCCAGTGTGGACACTGCATGAGCCATCCCAGGTGGGCTTCCCATGGGACGTGGCATTGTGAGCGGTTCAGGGCGTGGGGGAGGTGATGCTCAATGTCTCTGGCCAGCAGGCAGGAGTCAACCCAGAAGGCCCTCTTTTCCCAGCATTTTAAGTTTCTGAATGCGTGAAGACGACCCTTGTCTACTGTATCCTGAGCGTGTTATTCCCAAGGAAGATTGTCCAAAAGTTGCTCGTGCCTTTTTGATGATGGCCACTCAGATGTTCAGTTCTGAACTGCTGCCACTGTTGTTTTAAAATCCGCAGCACCCTCTTCCTGGGGCATAAGCTTTCACAACAGTGCGGATGGCTTTTTCCGGCCACAGAATGGTAGAAACTGGAGCAGAAGGGAGACTGACTATTAGGTCATTTCTTGCCTGCCCCATATGCTGAGGTTTGCTTCTCAGGGCAAATTCTCCTGGTGCTTTGTCCAGCAAGCTTTAAACGATTCAAGTAATGGGACTTCCAGTAGAGATATGTGGTTATTTTATCCAGCAAGCACGTTTCTTTCCCTTTGCCTATAAACTGGCCGGCCACAAAAATGGGGTCTGCAGGCAGGTGACCCTGAGCCAGGAGGGGCTTCTTGGGGTTTACACAGAGTGGGCTGTGTTTGTAAAGATTTGGTAGAAATAGGTTGCTCGGTTGTAGGAAGTACTGCTTGCAACAAACGGTTTTATTTCAAATGTGCATCCTGATGAAAACATGGGCCCTTGGACACGGGGTCCAAAGTGCAGGCCGCTCTAAGATGGAATACGGATGGTCTGTGTCCTAGTGAGACACTCATGAACCTCTAAGAGACCTCTCCTCCCCTCAGATGAAAATTTCATTCAAGTAAAAATCAAAAGTCACGGTTTTAAGTAGAAATGACCCAAGAAGGCCAAAGTGCAACTCTGCTTTTCTCCACTGCTTCCTGTGCCCATCTTAAATTATATTCTGCCCAAAGACTGAAGGTTCAGCTGAAGTTCACAGTTAATGCCTGACGGGTCATTTGCGTTGTCTGTAGTACTGCTAATAATAACTATTATTATTACTATTAGAAATAACATTTATACTTTTTTTTCCTCTCCAAATAAAATTTCAGGGCAATACTTAGATCGTGAGCAGATACATTATTGGGGTTCAACCTGATATCACAGGATTTTTTGTTTCGTATTAATTAGAAATCCCAAGAAAATCAAGTTGGATGCCCTTCCAGTGATACCGAGTAAAAAACACTTAGGAAAAACAATAATTAGCTCATACGATCTGTTACTGTCTGGCAGGTGGTGACACGAGCGGCCACCTTGTTTCAGGAAACTGAAAGGCATCTTGAGGCTAAAGAATTTTTCCTGGCACAACAAGTTCCCACCAGGAGGAATTAGGGCCACACACTGTCACGGACACCAGGCTGTCTGCTCCTACTCGGATCTGCTGGGGACAGTACAAAACTTGTGTAACCTGTGTCCCTGGGGCAGTGCCACAAGCTAACGTGCTTTTCCTTTAGCTGGTGTCGGTCCTCAGCATTAATCAGACAATCCATCCTCCCTTCTTCCAGAACAACTTTACAAAATACAGCCTGCATGCCATTAATATCTGAACCTCAGATGATTTGGTAAAATACATTTGCCAGGATAAATCACTTCTATGTGATTTGTTTCAGATTTTCAAATGATATTCTTAAAAATGTATTCCATTTTTAATGTAGTGTTTCATACTAATGACAATTAAATACTATTTGGAAAGTCTCCATTCAGAACTAAGTTTAGTATTGCTTACAAATGAAATCTGCTAAGAATTTTATATGCTATGAAAATTGGATAACTAGCAAGAAAACGCCTCAAGCAAAATAGCTAATATTCACTGATATCAATAGAAATTGCTTATAAATACATGCAGCATATATTCTATATATATACATTCAAGTATGAATGATACCATGTATTTTTGTGTCTATATTATAACTCAGTGCTATATTTTTTCTTTCAGTATTCATAAAAAACTGAAAGCTACAGGAAATTGTCAGAGGCATTTTAGAAATGACCTTGTAATATAAAAAGATAAGGAGTTCCCCTCTCTTTCCACAAGGAGACTCTCACAGCCAAGTGTGCGGCAGTGGCCAAGTGCAGAGTGACAGATGCGTGCAGGTGCTCTCCGGAACGCCCGCTCCTTCCAGGAGGCTCTCGGTTTCGTCCCTGTCAGTGCTTTCAGTGCTGTGTTCGGTTTGCGAAGAACCTCACTGAACTTTCTCAGCATTTTTCATTCGCTGTGAGTTCACAAGCTAGCTAAAGGCCAGGGAAGGGGAAGGGTCATCTTCAAAATCTAGGTTCCTCCCTTCTCAACCTTTTGGCTGGGATCGAGTGTAAAATCTAGGTCTAGTTCACGATTACACAGGTCAAAAACAAGGTCACTCCCTGAAGAAACCAGCATGGCTGTCACACACGACGAACACTGCAGTTTCACTCACGAGAACAGTAGTGCAAAGTGTTACTCACGTTCAAAAACGCATCCTGGACTGAGTGTCAGTTAGGAACTCCTCTCCTAATAAAGAAAGGAGAAAGTAGGAGGTTCCTCATACAAGTCTGTTCATTCAGAAAACTGCAAATAGCAGCAAGCCACTCGCAAACACGCAGAAGAAATGATTGTCACAGGCGCTGACTGCACGGCACACGCACCTGTCATTTGTGTGTCACGGGTATCTTACCACGGATCCTAGATCTGTCATGTGTGTAGCTGTCACAGGTGTCTGACTGTGGGACATGCACCTCTCAGTTGTGTACCTGTCACAGGTATCTTAACTGTGGCTCCTATATCTGTCATGTGTGTAGCTGTCACAGGTGTCTGACTGTAGGACACACACCTGTCATTTGTGTAGCTGTCACAGGTCTCTTAACTGTGCCTCCTATACCTGTCATTTGTGTAGGTGTCTGACTGTGAGACACTCGCCTCACATTTGTGTAGCTGTCACACGTGTCTGGCTGTAGTACACACACCTCATTTGTGTAGCTGTCACAGGTGTCTGATGGCAGCACGCACACTCTCATTTGTGTTTCCAAGGCTGGGCTTTAGAAAAGAAATCCTGTTTGGTCCAGATGGCCCTCACGAAGGCTCCCCGAGAGAACTCGGGAGAAGTCTCTCTAGCCAAAAATATTGTTGCTGCTTATTCCAGTGCCAGAAACCCCACCGCCACTCTTTCCTGCAGATGGAATGAACCATCGGAAGATGTGGGTGGTGTCACTGTCCAGTGCGAGGGCTGGCTCCCCTCACACACGGCCGCCCGCCGTGCCTGCCACCCCTCCTGGCCCCTCTGTTTGCCAGCAGGAGACTCAAATCAGAGCCGTTTGTATCTGGTCAGAGTGGAGGAAGAAGGGACAAACTGCTCCCGAGATTCTTCGTCATTGTACGTTGCCCTCTGTTTCCATGTTCACTTAATGTGCTCAGGAGCCGGTGCCAGCATTTTGACCTGAAAAAGTCCAGTTCTAAGAAAAGCTGCAA